AATCTATGTTTTAATTACTACCAGCATGTTTACTGCCAATTAAAGGCCACCGGTTCGGTTCTTTGAAAATCATACTCACGGAATCCTGTAATCGTGAATTACGTGTATAGACACACATGTCCATATACTAAAAAATAAATATATATATTTAATTGTCGAAGATCATAAAAGATCTTTTGCGTGCCCGAAAGACTTATTAGTCAGTGCGTCACGACGATTTCGATTACGCTAATTGCATCGGAATCGAGGCATCCTCGTAGTTTAATAGCGGATGTGAGGAACATTAGTATTTACGAAATTGGTCACCGACGTTGTTCGGTGTGGGACGAAAACGCGGGGAAGAATTAGATGAGTCATCGGGACGAGTCACGGCACGGCATCCTCGAACTATATTCACATTTGCATATCGGTTCTCTTTACCGCGATTCGTGCGTGCGTGGTCTCCCACACGTGTGTACACATACGCTATCTACCCGCGCGTAAACAAAACCGTTACGTAAATTGTCATTCTGTTTCACAAACACGTGCATCGTCGTCAGCAGCGTCGACCAGATTTTATTAAAATAATTCGATCAATATTCTCCCTCTAAAATCTGATTTTCAACTTGCCCAATGTTCCTATATCTGAAATTGAACTAGAGTTTCCTCACGAACTTCGGTGGTTGGCTCGTTAGACGAAATTGTCTCTTGGTATAATTTTCAATCCCATTCGTAGGACAAATGGTAATGAGTTAAAAATGGATGGGTTCGTTAGGCCGGAATCTAATCAAACTTGCTGGTATCTGGCATCATAACGAAAGTTCGTGTCCCATGGCGGAATTAGCATGCGAGAGGTGAAGGGAGAGTGTCACCGAACACGGCGCGCAGCACGTATCCTTTATGGTATCGGGGTCCGGTGGATGTGCAGCATCGGCACGCGTAGCAAGATTAGAAGGCACCGATTAGAGTGAGCGCTTGTAGATATTTGCATATCGCTTCTTCGGAGCCCGACATTGTTAATTCCCTCGGTTGAATACGCTACCGTATATACGCGGATTCGCGTAAATTCCCTGGCTGCCAGCATTTGCCAATCTCTCGGTATTTACGCGTTTTACCTCGTTTCGTTGCGATTACAGAGAAAGTAGGTCTCTCGTCAAATGTCGTTCGCAAATTATTAGAAACAATCGAGAACGATTAGACACAAATTATCTGAACGTTGTATTGTATTATATAATTGTAATAAAGCACGTTGAATTACACGTGTATAATGAACGGATTTAATTTAATCTCCTATGTACATTGACGCTAACAGAGAATGCCGGTGATCCCTATAATTCATTGGAAAGTCTACTGTTACGCGCTATTGAACAACGACTGGAAACATATCAAACCCATAAAACGATCACCAGCTCAGACGTTGGTATTCATTCGTGTAATTAACGATTCGCGAAACGTTCGACGGATAGCTATCTTAAAAATTGTCCTCCGACGTTTTGTAAATATTTAGATGTTTCGTGACAGATTAACACGTTGTATACTAATTAAAATACTAATGTTCGTGAACCCGTATCCTACCTGCATGGGACAGCCCCGATGATAAGAGTAATGAGTTATGTAACCAGTTTATTCTTAGCTCGATGGAATTAATACGTGGCCTGGTTCGTCTTAATTACTTCGTCAGCCTCGTCCGGGCGATTGAACCGAGGCCGGCGATGTCGATCGCGTATCCGTGTCGATCAGGGGTGCGTGCAACGAATGTCAGTCGAATAGCTATCTCGTAAATGTCACCGGTTCGCGACGTCGTGGGCCAAGCGAACAAAGGAACTCGCAACCGGGTACCCGCGAGTAGGATAACGCACGGTGGGCAGCGAATATGGCACGACTTATATGCACCGGTGCATACGCGTTGCACATGCAACTGGCGAGGTAGGACAGTCGCCTCGCACTAGGTATTAGTCACCGTTCGACTCGCGGCAACGCAGTGTGTATCGAAATTTCGTTTTCCTCCAGTCGTCGTCCGACGTGACCGATTCGTCTCGCTATAAGCATTGTACGAATGTAAAATTTATTCCGCACATCTCGCGTGATCGCTGGCCGGGCAGCGAAACGTGATCGCGTGCGAAACCGACGGGCCGCGCGCGAAAAACAACGTCCCGCCCGTTCGTAAAAGTGTATTCGAATCACGCTCGTGTGCCAAGTGTTAAACGAAAGTGAAACGGACGCTCGATTCTTTGTTCGATACCTTCTGCGTCTTTGAATACATCTGCTTCAGACGGAATGAAATTTTTTTAGATATTTCGACGATAGTTCATGAAACCTAGTTTTTAAATACCTTTCGGCACGCACTATAGACGAACAGCGTAGCCGACGAGATAAGAACAGTAACGTAACGTTACGTAATGTAATACCGATTTTCTTATGACAAACGTTTTGCAAATAAAATCGACTTTCACTCGGTAATACGTTTCCACGCACAGACATCAAATATTGTCAGAATGCACAACGGAAAAGGGATGGATACGATTCTCTCGCGTAATTGTAAATGACCGGCATAAATAACGCGGTGTTCGACCCGTGCGCGGAGCGTTCTATCAGTATCAAATCCGCGGCGTTCCTCGGGTATGAAGATTAATGGAGAACATTAGAAGAAGTACATGCGTGGGTGTCCGTCAAACGAACGGTTCCTGCAACGTGGAAGCCGATTCCCTCTTCGTATACGTTATACACCGAGGAGCAAGTGTTCGTCCATTGGCGTAGGTCCCTCGTTTCACGCGTGACGAGCATCAAACCTGCAGAACGCGGCGCAGATTTCACCGGCGATTAAAAGCTTATGCAAATCGCGGTCAATTATGTTCGTAACAATAATCACCTTTTACGCGAATCCGCCTGAAAGAGTTTTCAATAGCTGTTTGTTCGAAGTTAATAGTCCGTTAATAAAATCACTCGCGAGATAACAAAGAGCGCACGCGTTTGTAAAGACATGAGAATAAATTAAGATTCACTTCTGCTCTCTGCTGTTCTGTGTCTGCAATTTTTACATCCACCGATTTCAGGCATTTCCTAATTTCGCGTGACCGAGTCTACGCCACGGGTGAAACTCGCGAGGCAATGATTACGTTTGGTTCCTTCCGCGTCGAGCAGACAGCAATATTAGATAGATAGCGGCGTGACTCGGTTCGAGACCACCAATAAGACAACGAGAGCGAACCCGCGCGTGGGTATCGTCGCCTCTCCGCGGTGGACCCCATAGAATTACACGGTAATCTCGATTCGAGGCAATGATCTTATCGAGGCGTGGAAAAACGGGCGTGTACGTATGCAGATCGCGCAAGGTGTAGCGTACTCGACTCCGCGCGTGACGTTTCCGGAAATGCACACGCTCCTCGGGTTGTCCCGAAGGCTTACGCTCCCCGTGCACGCGAATCGCGAAACTCTACGGATGATCGATTTCTGTAAAGACCAAACCAGCAACACTCGTATAAGAAAATCACAGCGTTCGACGCTAAAATCGTCGAACCGTAGACCTTTGAATACGGCGCAGCCCAGCTTTTTCCTCGCCTTCTTCCGCACACGTTTTGTTCCCGATATCGCGATGCGACGCGGCATCGCATTGTCCAGTTTATTCTGAAATTACAATATCGTAACCGTATCGCTGAACGTGTGCTATTTCAAGATTCGCGGTAAGAACCGTGCGATAAACATGCAAAAGCGAAACCATAAACCTGTTCTATCAGAGCGTCCGCTGTTCGCGATTCCTCAGAAATCCGGGGCTATATTTAATTCATAACGATTTAACGATCTTTATACCGTGCGTTGGCAAGGAGTCAAGGCCGCGGTTAAGATAATGCACATGACCGAAAGGAAAAAGTGGAAAATTGTTGGCATTGAATAAAACGCAGCATTCCGCGGCGTCGATGATGGAACCTTTTAATCCGTTGAAAGTGCTGCTGCTGGTGTTACTCGTGCGGCAAGAAATCGACGACGTAACCGCCGTTTCAATGGTGAATGACCACCAGGTATGTTGATCGTACACGGATTACGCGCGACAGAATCCTTTAACTTCGACATTGACATCATATGACGCATGCACGCAATGCCCGCGCTCCGCCGTACGCTCATTAGTCGGTACTAAATAAGCTTCTATTAAATTCTCTATCAATCAGATTGCGATTGATTGGATCTCATTTGCGATTTGATCCAGCCAGGAGAAACGTTCATTTATAGAGGCGAGGGTCGTAATGATGTTAAATTAATTTCGTTAAGTAGACATCATTTGAATGTACAAACAGGCTGGACGGGATCTAAAGAGTTCAACTAACATGAATGAATGAATCACTGCTCTAATTAATCTCTTGTCGATGTTGTAATTAGTATTGCATTAAAAATCAACGGATGCAACAGAGAAACAGAATCCTTTATCGAAAATAAGATAGCTCGAAATCTTTGATCAATCTTTGTAACCAGATCGACGTTTTACAGTCGCTACAGGTGTGGCTCATTTGAATATTATGTAGAACAGCTGGTACATCTCTTCCTAAACTCTTCGTCGACGACGCACACGTAGCATGTTTGCACGTAGCTTTCTTGAATGTAAATGCCAAGCTTCGTCTATACACCCCCTAGAAATTCGTGTGTCCTACATTTAACAAACCATGTATATAGTCTACTTCTGCAATGCGTACTGACACATTTTTAATATCCCATCAAACATGACTGCAGTGTACATCGCTTTCTGGCATCCTCAGTTCACAGCGACAAATAAATTTAAATAAGAATAAAGAAGATCCTGAATATTTTTATGATTATTTATATCATATTATTTTATGCTAATGATTACAATATCCGTATTAGGTTTCTGTTTTACGATCATTATGATCTCGGTTTTAATAGGATGTTTAAACTTCGTTTCCCGTATGTTACGGATACCGTTTCGTCCAATTAATGTAAACAACTTGAAACATCGATAGCCTGAAAGTTTTAACTAAGAACGAGCGATAATAGTATTTGCAGATGTTGCTTTCGAACTTTCGCCCTGAGCAGAATTTCAACCGGTTCGTATTCCAACTGCACCATGTTGCGCACGTTGAAAGTCCTTGCACGCTCATCCTTTCTTAAAGGGATCGTCTGTTTCTCGAAACCAGTAACATCTTCATGAAACATGCACAACCACCCGCAAACTTTAAATGCTAACATCGCGTACCAAATGGCAAGGCGCCAACGATACGAACAATAGATTATTATTAATTAATAATAGTTTCTTTAAAAAATGGATTATCTCGGAATCGTTTTATGAAAAATGGTAGCTGTAAAAAAATATTTATAACAATTTCAAAGCAATCTATAACAGAAAGATTTTTTCTTCGAATCACGATTACGATAAACGGGCCACGCCCGTTGTTACAGCGTCGGAGAAAGAAGAAAACAAAGCGGAAGAGAGTGGTTCTCGTGACGCGGTAACGAAGTCTGTACTGGGTCACGATGCCTTTGAATCTCTCAAATTAGCCATGTCAAAAATGCCGTAACCTTACGTTTTGCCTTTTACCAACGAAACACAATTTCCTTCCGCGTGGCACAGCCGTCTTTATCGCGCCGCCGGTTCCCAAAGGACGACAAATAGGTTCGTGCTTGTTTCGTTCCAGCGATTTGCATGATTCGTGGACGCGTTTCGCCTGGTTTCCCAACGCCTACCAGCGCAACAGGGAAAAGTGACGTTCGAAAAGGTCTCGGGAACGACGAGAGTCCGAATGCGATTTTACTCGCGCCCGCGAACGCCGGGGTTGACCGAGTTACCTAATAATTTTAAATCGTTCAGCTGGCGTAAAATTATACGGCATTACCGTCGCTGATGGAACGCACGGTTACGTGCATAATGGCATATTTTCGGAGCTACCATCGTCGATCGATACATTTATGTGGCTACGCAACGTCGTTGTCCGTCATCGCTCCATTTCCAGTCGCCGCATTATCCAACGATAATGATGTACAAGCCGAGATTACACGGACGATAGCAATTGCGTTAGGTACTGGCTCAGCTTCGATCGCGTTAAGCCAGTTCGTGATGAAACAGTTTATCGAAACGATCGAATCGATGATACGTGAGGCACACATACCGTAACGAGCTTTGTCCACATGCGCACGTGTGAGAAAGGACCGAAGAGAAAGAATGCGCCGTGTAATATTATTATTAGTTATTACATATTATTACAGTGCACTGTTGAAATATAAACGTGAGCCACGTAATAATGCTGGGAGTTCGTCTGATGAAATATTATAAATTTCTATATAGACTCAAGAATGATAATAAGAATGTTATGACAATTTGATAAAAGTAGTAATAACGAAAGTTAAACTGTCTGCTTGCAGGATCGAGCGAGGAATGTATCCGAGAGGTTCACGTCTACTACAACCTTGACTGTAAATATTAGAGACGACGATGATCAAGATCCTTCTTTCATCTATCAAGGATGTATGCTTCTGGATGGGACTTGCATCAATCCAGAGTATTCAGCGTCCGTACGTATGGTTCAATTCTATAAATACTAGTGTAGCTCGATCATACAGAAACCTCCACGTTGCCTTTCAATAAGTCAGAGGGCAATCTCGGAATAAAAATCCCTCTTGTCCAAATTGTACAAGAGTAAGCGAATCTTTTGAAATAAGAACGTAAAATAATACGTTCAATACGTATCGTACACGAACGTACAAAAAGTATAGAAGGAAATATCCAATTAATTATTGACGCTGGCGAAAAGTTTTTTATACAGAAGTTGTAGGCATTGACATCCTCTACAAAGAAAAATTCTATGCATTTTTCTTCTAACTCCACTATTTAACG